TGGGGTTTAGCAAGACAAGATGTTTCAAATGTAGCCATTTTGAATGAACAGTCTGAATCAGACTTATGTAAGAAAGTCATGTATGATAAACAATTTTTCACTATTAGATCCTAATGATTCACATCAGCCCACAGTGAAGGTTTTTCCTTGTTATGTATTATTTCCTTGTATGTTAGTATTTAGAAAATAAAGGTGCATTTTTTTCGAGTTTTCACTCTTCAAATTTTTTTCCAGTTTTTGTGATTGTGATTGAGACTGATTGTGTTGGTTGTCAGTACATTCCCTATTTTATAAATATGTGATTTTGAAATGCAATACATTACAGTGCTTACTTTAGTGTAATATAACTACTCCACCATAAAAACAGTTTGTTCCCCCAAGATCCAAACAAACAAAATATGTTCTGTGTTTACTTCATGGGTTCAACCACAAGAAATTTGACCTTTACTTAATTTGCATGGTTTTTCTCTGTTTGAAAACATGCAACATCCGACACATTCATCTAACTTGTATTAAAACCTCTATAGAAGATGATTTTTTTTCTGTATTTAACATCTCAAACTAATAGAAATGGAACATTTTTATTTTCTTTATAATGCAATAGCAAAAATGTAATATTTTCAAAAGGTAGAGAAGATTCTTTATTTCAGGTGGCAGTTAATATTATACAGAGAGAAAGGTGCCTGTATTTATAGTTACCATTATTTGTTTATCTAAAACATTTCTTTATATTATTCTTCATATCCCTTCAACTTAATTTAAGTTATGAGGGTTGTAGGAAGAGGTTACAAGCCAGACTATTGATTTTGCCACTTTATACAATCTGAGGTTTTTATTCCTTAGTCTTTGGTACCAGGAAATGACGGAGAGAATGTGTGTTTCAAAAAAATCACTCTAGTTTTAACAAAATATAGAGCTGAACTTTTCCCATTTGGGGCTCCACTTAGAATCAGTGGAAGCCATAAGTCTGTATAGCCGCACGTTGGGAAAGAAACCAATAAACCTGCAAATTATGTTTCTAAGGCTGAGCAAAAACCAGCTTCCTTGACATTCTTGCACCTCAGTGGATAGGACTGTGAAAGGAACAATGGAAAGTAAAAGCTAGATCTTGCTGTGAAGCTTTATTTAACTGAGTAATTTTTTGACCGAGTAAGGGGTTATGCAAGTTTCATGAAGGGTCTCAAAAGTAAGATGAGGTGCTGAATCCCATGATCAAATTTACCAGTGTTGTTCCATGCATTTTTTTACTCTTTAGTATTCTTCTGAGACCTCTGTGATTCTGGAAGCCTTTTAGATGTTACAGTTTGCACAAACTCCTCTAAAAAGTGCCAAGATTATCAAAGACTGGCGAAGAATGATCTAAACATATCTGTCTGTCTCTCCAGGGTAACCTCAATGACAAGTTCAGCATCATTTTGAAACCACAGACCATATCAAACCACAAATCATAACATTCCTAAGTGGTTCAAAATATGGCTGTGTGTGCAAAGACAAGAAGGTCCATAAGACCATATTTAAAAGCCATTTGAACTCCTAACTACTGTTGTCATAAGCAAAGGTTCATTAAATAGCTTTGGACTTCTGCTTTTGGTGATATTTTTTCTAGGAGCAGTTTGTTTCCAAACAGTAAAGGTCTCAGAGAAGCAAAATAAATTGAAATTCTTTCCTTCACAAAGAAAAACCCCTGTCTGTAATCTGCCCAGCTGTAGGTAAATGAACTAATGATAGGCTCTGCCTTAATGTAAGGAACTGCAGCGCTCCATCCACCTACTTACTTTGATTGGTTTCCAGAGTTCAGAAAAAACAAAATGTCAAACATGATTTAAAACAAGGAGAGAGGTTTGGAGTGCCTTTCTGCCACCTGGATTTCATGGCCCAGTTTCTCCAGTGAATTTAGAGAGCCAGGCTTCTGAAAGTCTATCCACCAAAGCAAGATAATGCATGGGAAGATAATCACTAGAGAATGCTGAGGAAAGAAACAAGGATTAAGTGTTAAAAAAAAGCCCAGCAACCAATGCCTGGGTGAATGCGTTTTCCTGAGCATATCACATGGCTGAGTATACCCTTGTTAACCACTCACTGGCAAGATGCCAACATCCAGGACACCAAAACAAGTGATTCTTAAAGGTGCTGCATACCCTGAGGCAGCTACTACCTGGTGCTTTTCAGGGTTCCCTAAGCATCCTGACTTGGGGTTTGTTCCCTTGCCAAGCTGACTGACAGTTGTGAAGGCAAACAAAACGTAGGTTGGTCGGAGTGTCATGTGAGTACATTGGATTTTGAGCAGGGTAAAGGTGTAGTAGTATTTCTAGTCCTAAATTAACATGAATAAATCTAAAACAATTTATTCTAGTTGCAAGAGGGATGGAGACAGGTGCACAATAATCTCAGTTTTCCTGTTAAATAGAAGTAAATGAATGACTGCAAAAGGGAGAAATTATCTCTTTGGGGTTTTTTAGGAGTGGGGAGGCACTTACATGCTGCAACAGGGACATTTTTCTCAGCTGAAGCCTTCCTTATTTGGGATTTGTAAATGTGTTTGCCTCCTACTTCCCACGCAGCTGGACATGTGTGTTGCCTCCTGGAATTGGAATGATCACCCATTCTTATCCCAGCATTTAGCAAAGCATCACTTTTGAGCAGCAGTATCTTAGGACAATTCAATCTATAGAAGAAGACAACCTATATTAGAATGCAGTTCCTAAATATTTTACCAGTTTTGAAAATGCTATTAGAGTAGTGACGTTCCTTACGCTTGCTGAAACATGACAAGTAAAACAGTAGGAAAGACAAGTTATTCCATGAGCAGCAGAACTAGTGAAGCCTGATTTCCTTCAAATCTGTGCACTTTGCTATCCAACACCACTCCCTGGAATAATTCCCTTCCACTATCCCATGAGATATGCATCTCAGTAACTCGAGATCTTCCTGTGCTCACAGCGTTTCCAGTTCAGCACTCGCCTCTATATTCTTGGCTCTTTTTCCATCCCCTGTGTCTGAGGTAAGGGGAGAAATACGAGCTACAGTTTGGAATGAGCTAGTGAGCCAGGCAGTGCCACATGCCAAGGGGCCAGTCAAAGCACATGGGATGGATGGCCTGCCACCCCATGCCAGAGGGGGTAGGGTATAGCAGTTCTCTCAGCAAGAATACTGGATTCTGTTTTCTCTCTCTGTAGATACATAACATGTGGATATTTAAATATCTTTGAGATGTCTGGTTTTGTCGTGCAGGCTGAAATGGATCAACTTATTCAAAAGTGAGAAGGAGAAACTGAAAAAGCTTTCTTCCAAGGACAGATATACTGATAATACTAGTAGCAATATCTGCCATTTAGCACTGACAAATATAACATTAGCTGTTTGAAACATCTAGATGGCATGTAATGATTGTGGTATAGAAACTCAAATAAATTAAAAAAAATATTAATCTAGTAGAGTTTTTCAATGGCAATTCAATAGGTATGAAGTTTAGCATAAAAGCCAAAAGACTGCCACCTCATGTCATTGAACTGGAGGGTTCATCTATACATTGGTAAATGGACTCAGTGTCTGCTCTTAGTTCCTTAGTCTTAATTACATGATATATAAAGAACAAAATTTGAGCTCTACAGGCTCTTTTCTCAAAATTTTTGAACTGTTTAATAGAGTAACCAAATCTGTCTGACTTCCCAGAAGAGTATTATTTAGCATTGGATAAATGTATTTAGTGTTTGGGAAGTTTTATTTGTTTGCTTCACTCAGCCGTGACAACTGTATTTTAATAAATGAACATTGAAGTAATTTTTTTAAAAAATTCTAATAGATTGTGTTTATGGGAGTTCTGATGCCATAACCACATTGAATATGTTATTATCATGAGATCTTCATCTGCAGAGGAAAAAGAGAAGTGTATTTTAACCCTTCCATGAATACTAATCCTGATACTTCTTGTATGAATTTATTTACTCCCATTATCTGTAATTTTTCTTTCGCTATGGATTCTCATATAAGGCAATGGTTCATTTTAAGTCCTTTCTGCTGTTTCTTGCTAGGACTTAAAACTTTACTTGTATGCTTTATATAATCCACATCACTATAAGTTCTGTGACTTGATTACTCTCAGGAGGTCTTTTCGTGTTGATCATATTGGGAGAGCTCTATTCATGTGACTAAGGTAATTATATTAAAATTTCAAGAAACAAGACTCTATGCTTTGAAAAGTGGCTATTTTAACTGGATCCAAGAGTATAAACTATTCAGTAGAAGTAAGCTCATATAATGTAAACATAAAAATAACTAACTCAAAAGATTAAAAATTATGCTTTTCTTACAGCTCACAAAATAACTTAATAATTGCTAATACAGCTGGTATAGATAAAATGTGTTTCTGATTCAGTTGCTTACCATTTTTGATGACAAAGTTACTTATACAGACAGCCCTTTGCCATCAAAGAAGTTCAAAATCATGCATAATTAAATATCTATCTATTTATTGTGAAGAAAATTAAGTATCTATCTATTTCAACTAAAATACTTGATTCACTCTCTGAATAAGACTACAGCAAAGTCTGCTACTCTGTGCAGGTGAAAAATTCTGTTTGTTTTTCCTAATCCTCAGCCCTCCCGTTTTACTCTCTTCCCTTTTGTATCAAATACAAAAAGTTCATTTGTCTTTGAAAAATGAATGGACCATCCATGTCCACTGTACCATTTTAGTAGCCTTTAGTAGTTTGTAGTTTTAGTAGCCTCTAGTGATTACTTCTACTCGTTATTTTTCAGTAGTTTTAGTAGCCTTTAGCTATTGTTCCTACTCATTATTACCTTGCCTTACCTGCCTGGAGAGAGGCAGCTGCTGCCTCTGTCTGTGTCATAAAATGCTCTTCAGAACAGATAGATTTTACCATAACATGACATTACTCCTTTATAAAGTCTACACCTAGGTTTTGTCATTTGTGCATGATGGACTTTCAGATTGCTCACAAGTCTGAGATTCTGTGCTGACTGATTGTGCTAAAGGGTCTCCTGCCTCCCTTCTCCTGTCTCAGCAATCCATTAAAAAGGGCAAGTGTAAGACAGATAAGCCACAAGACGAAGTGGAAATGAAAAGGGTCTCCTGAGAGGAGTTGCAGCAACAGGTGCAGTACAGAAAGTGTGAAAGGGTAATTTAAGACAACAACCTTGTGCTGCTTCTCAGCTTTTTATAGGATTTGGAGCATGCAAATACATCCCTAAACAGTATCTCTGCTTTTCCATGACCTTTGAGCATAGAAAAGAATTGCTGGCCTGTGCCCTATAACTGTGTAGCTTAACTATGTTTTGATGTGTTTGGCTTTATTGGTTACTGAATAACAATAAAAGATTGCAAATCTTGGACTAAGTTTTCTCCCCAAAGCTCTCTATTCCCATGATACCCTGTTTGCAAAAGCTTCTACAGCTGAGACCACATCTTACTCTCACTTGTCAAACCAAGATAAATTAACTGTGGGATCACTAAACCCAAAGGGACCTCCTGTCTTTCTTGGTATGAAGCTGAATGAACCTGATGAACTACATCAGACATTTTATTGGAACAGTTTTCAAGTGTTTTCTAAGTCTTCACATTTAGAAATGGGCTGATGTCTGTTTTAAGCAACAACAAGTTAATATAGAGAGAGCCAAACAATGGGCCATTTGGGATGCTCCTGTGGCAGTATATGCTGTATAATCTTTCTGAGAAGTTTGGGCATGCAGCTGGTTTATTTAAATGTAACTAAGACTGGGGTGAAGTTCTCTCTGTTAAACAGCTTAAGATGATAAATGCTAAAGTGGTAAAACACTAAAAAGTATGGTTCTGGAACCAAGTGTTTTCAAGCACAGAGAGCGTCTGTGGCTGTTTCACTATATCCTGTCTCTCAATCAAAAACAAAAGCTTGCTATGGCCTATAGATTGTGCAGAAGCCTTTCCAACCGTTCCATAAATCCTTTCCATTTTTTCACATACAGATGGTTTACATTTTCCATTCTCTGTTATATCTGCAATGGGATAAAGTTTTTTATCTTACAGTGACTTCAATTGAAAAATAAACATCCGTCCATTACACCATGTTTCTTCAGTTGAGAAAGGATCTGAGGAGACGTCTTAACGCTTATTACCTTTGCCTTAGAAATCTTAGGACTATGTAAACCTCTTTGACATGAAGTACTCATTGTAGGGTCTGCAAGAGCATACAATAAGTTGAGAATCAATGATAATTTATGGGGTGTTCCTCCAGCCAAAAACCTCAAAGGTGGGGGATAATATTTTTCTCTTGACTCTTCTGGGCTTAGAAGAAATTGTAATATTGATGTAATTGAGAAAAAGGTGATTTGGTGCCTTTCCCATTGGCTCCTCTGAGGATGCTTTCTTTGTTTTAATGTTTTTATAACAGACAAGTGCCTACTTCAGCCAATGCTGCCCAGAAATGGGTGTAGCTTCCATGCACATAATTAATTCATTAATTTAAAAGAATCTAAACACAAAATTTAGAAGGCAAAATTGTATCATTTGCAGTAATTTGGCTTTATCCCAATATTTGTGTTAAGAATCCAGGTTTGTTTTGCTAACCTAGGGTTTACTCTAGCCTGTCAGCCCTTGAAGGTCTGGATTTTAAGTGGGAAGAGTACCATGCTATACTGTTACTCAGAAAATGATGCTGCACAGGTATTTACAATATTTACATGGACTTTAGAGAAGCAGGTAATTCATTAAATATGAGTGGGAGGCAATTAACACTTCATCACTGCTTCCCTTCTTCCACTCTCTGTATTTCCTCTTTAAGGGGACAGAGGGGGGTTCATGTTCTTTCCTTTTGCTCTCACAGACCAGAACTTTGGCTCAGCACAGGAGGGGGTGCACAGCTGTACGGAGGTAGGAATAAATAGTCAAGACTGAAGGAGGACATGAAATTTTAAAACCAGTTCTGCCACTAGAGACATGTAAGATGAAATTGCACCTTCCACAGAGCTGAAGATTTGCTAATGTACCAGAAGTCTCACAGTGACATTCTTGCTTGTGTGTCTCACATCCCCAGAAAGCACGGAATAAGCTGCAGCAAGAAATCCAATCTGCGAAAAATTTCCAGCATTTCAACATATTTTTCTTTTCACTTTAGTTGAAGGGTCTTTGCTGAACTCTAAATGCTTCACTTTGAATTTAGAGCTTTTTAGATATTTTTCCTTATCTTTATAGTATATATATTTTAAGTAATCATTTTATTATATAACTGTTCAAAATTATTTTATTAGAATTACTGTAAATATTTTTATAATAAGTATATTAAATTTTACTCAGTAAATTAATTTCAGGAGTTAGGAAATTATGTTCAGGTATTTAATTGTTGTTCACTGTTTCATAATTGATATTATATCAGATAATATGACTATATAAAATTAAAATGTGAGCATTAAAAGCACACCTAAAAATTAAAATGATTTTGAAATTATACAGTCTGATACTTTTGCAATGGTTTGCTTCATATTAACTCAACGTGTTGCTTTCATATTTTTCACCAAAATTTATATTTCCTCTTTGCCACTGAAGATATACACATATTCTACCACTGCTATGTAGAAAGATTTGCCTTAGTAAGTGTGCTGACTAACAGTTGTACCCATGAACTTTTATCTGCAGTGAGTGAGAGTAAATCTGAAGATTCAGCATTGAGTATGCCATCTCAGTTTTGAGAGGCTCTTGAGAGTAAGTAAAGAAACAACAGAATTAAAAAAAAAAGACAAGAAGAAGAAACTATGATACCAGCATGGTGGATGTAAGCCCCTGGTATTATTTTACTGTTTGCAATCTCTGTTGCTGGGTTGTTTGGTACTTACCTATTATGCTGAACTGCAGCAATTTGTCCTCTTGCACAGCTTTTCTTCTTTTCATCAGACGGTTCCAGTGAATTGCATGGTCGAGATCTGATTCCTGAGGCTGTTGAAGGGGCTGGTCCTTTCTGTATGGTTGGGTGCTTACTTAGCTCTATTTGTACGTTTTCTGTTACTGCAGTCATTTTGTTGTAATCAGTTTTAGACAAAAGAGATTAGATACTTTTGGAAGCAACCACAAAGACTTTCTAGTTTAATTAGAGGTGTGTATATTTGCATGAAACTTTTATTGTAAAAGATGTAACATTAGACCTTTGCTGGTTTCTCTTTTGGTTTTGAGGCATCAATCTTTCTACAAACATTAAAATATATAATGTAAGTAAGCAAACAGATGTTCAGAATTTCCTCTTTTATTTCTACCCCTCCTTTTGGAACTCTATTGTTCCAGCTCTCTGATTATTTGGACCATTCCTTGAATTCTTGTTTTTAACTTAAAAATTCCAGAAATGTTGTGCTGCTTGTCTGCATCTTTCTTCTCAGTTGCAAACAAAATCACTTTGCTGACAGTACTTACAATACAGAATAAGAGAATCTGTAACTGCCTGTAACCAGCTGTGTATGTTCACATTCAATAATTTTTCTAATAGTAAAGTTTGTGCAAAAGATGTGACATTTTTTAAAGCTATCATAAGATCTATTTCAATATCAGCCAGCAGAGAAGTAACAATGTGTATATACTTACAGCAGTGTGATGCCAAACTTTTGAAAAGGGTTCGTCAGAAATTTGTGCTGTCTCAGTTGGCAATATCTATGACGTTCCTCAATTAGAGATATGTGGATGCCTTCCTTTGCCATATAACGTTCATACTTTGCCATACCTTCATCCCATACTTCTTTTGAAATCTGAATTTGTTAGTCAGTTCCCAACACAGTGTCTCTTTCACCTTCTGCTGATTTCAGGAATGCTTCTTTGTTTGACACAACAGTCGTGGCAGTGGCAGTGTTGGTGTGACAAACCACTACACCAGCCATGCTGGGTACCCTCAGATTTCTGCATGTGAGGCATTTGCATCTGGCAGGTTTAATGGTTCATGGGGCAATAGGCTCACTTTTGTTTGTGTGACCTGTTGTTTCCTTCAGACTGCTGGTTAGTATCATTATTTCACAATTGCTAGGTAGATAGTTTGATGATAAAAATTTTAAGCTGCTTTTTGGTACTGGGTATATCAACAACACTCTAATGAGAGTTCAGGCAAGGAAAACTGATGGCTGTGGAAGTGGAAGATGTCTCCTCTAGGAGAACTTACAGCTTGACCCTATCTTTCCTGTGCAGTGGTAGCAGTGGATTAGCTGAGCTGTATGTGCTGGGGTATTGGCAACCTGCTTGAATCAACCCTTTCTAATGGTAGTAAGGGATACAGCACAGCAAGAGAGATGGCATTAACAATAAGCACAATTATTTGGCAAAAGTTAGCTTGTCTGCTAGTTTCAGAAGGACAGTCCGGATATTAAATGAAGTCACTGTTCCCCATGGTGAAGTCTTTAGCTCTTGCCTATTATGATCATATCACTTTGTTTAGGGATGACACAATGAGTTTGGGAAGAGTGCTGAGATAATTCCTGGGATGCACTCCAAACTTTATTATTTCTGCTACATACGACCCGCAACAAGGAATCATTAGATGTTTGAAGCAATCCCAGACTGCCATTTTATGATACAATAAAATACATTTATGCAACTGAATTATCTGTTATGTGAGAGAAGGAAAAGAATGATTAAGCAGTATAACAAAAGTGGCATAATGCCAGGGATTTGGCTCACTTGATTTTTTTAATAAATACCATTGTGTTAACAAACTTTGAAAATATTCCCAGTTTGAGACATAACCCCCCCAAAAAGTGAATATATGCAGTGAATATATTCTGGTTTTGAGATGGAGTCCTGAGTAGCTGCATTTGGTTCAACAAATTTATTTGGGATATTTCCCCTAATATTCCTTTGAAAAACTACTTATTATTGTAGAAGATTCTGTAGCAATAGAATTAATCCCATAATGTACCAAATCTGATCATGAGGATGTAAAGAAACTGAGAATGGAGTAAACCACTGTAATGTGGCGTTCATTACAGAATTTAAGGGGAACTTAATCACTAGGTTTACTTTACTAAAGGGAGAGAAGACATATCAGGAGAGGCAGGTACTGAAGAGGTAATGGAAGGCGTAAGATGAGACAGCTCTTTCTTTGGAAGGTGTGTTGTCCACTGTGCTCTGAGTTACTTTTTACACTTGACAGCACCTTTCTGGCCCAGAGAAGTAGTTAAATACTGTACACCCATATAACACCAAATTAATCGCATTGCTGTCCATACTCATTTCCTGACTAGCCTGCACCCACTCTGTATCTTATGACAGCATCAAATAGGAATTATGATCCAGAAACCTGCATAAAGGACTCATTGATAAGAGATCTGCCTTTTGTGCTTCTCAAATCTAAATGAAGACAGGATGATAGGGTTCAACATGTGAGGTTTCTGTTTATTTTGAAATTAGATTGGACAGATTGTTGTGAAGGTTTAGGTTCTACTATATTGTTGTTTGTATCCAACTTTAAGAAACTACTCAGAGCCTAAACAACAAAAACATGAAAAGAGGAGTAAGAATGAAGGAGAATAGAACCAGATCTCTTAGAAGGGTCAAAGTTTGCATTTGGAGTTATTAATGTTTTGCAAAGTCAACCATCCTGGGAGTTCAAGAAACATTTATAATGGCTAGTCCACCCTGTATCACAGTGAAGGAAACTAGAAAATGAAAACAGAGGTTTTTAGAGCATGTCTACTGGATGATGTTATCATGATTCGTCAGATCCACCTATGAGTTTTGTGAATCCCAAATGGTGCCTATGAAGTGTTCATAATGAGCTGTCTGTCTAAACAAGTTCTCAGGGACTAACTCCGTGTTAGCAACATGCTAAAGTGAGAAAAGTGGTGGACAAAAGGGGTGAATAGAACTCAAAGTGATTATTTTGACCGGTGCTTCTTCATCCTTTACAAAGTCCATACTGTTCTTGCCTATCAGTAAAGAACAGAAGTTAATCTGATGGAGTAAATGGGATATACTAAATGAATATAAGACAAAAAAAAGATCTCTTTGTTCAATATAGGTGAGATGTCTCAGCCTTTACTTTTGCCATAGCTGGGGGAAATGTTTGCTGAATATACTTTAATGTAACCCATGCAAAACAGGGACATCCCAATTACATGTTGTGTGTCATTTGAAATATGTTATCTCCATCTAATCAAGATGCAGAGAAAGCAAAAGGGGAATCAGCAAAATGTGTGTAATATTACACTACACAGTGGTTTCCAAAGTTTGCTGCAGTAGAAGTCCAGTGCTAGTGTCATTTTTTGACGGCCCTGGAAATATTCTCTTGACTTCCATCATTCATGCTAAAATTATTCTGTGTTTTTGTACTTTCGCTTTTCTTGTTACTCATTTCTCTGTATTTTGAAATGCCTTGATTTATGGAAAAATACCCTACCAAGGCTCAAGGTAGCTATAAACTCAAGATGTTGCATGTACTGTCTATGCTGGGCTTTATCTTTATTGAGAACCTTTACTAAGTGTCTGTTTATAACTTCTGAGGTGGCATCAGCTGAAGGAGAGTATGGAACAGTAGTCAACTGAAAGGAAAAGGGAACACTTTGTTCTGTTACAGAAAGAAACACTTCAGAGTTCATATTTTGTTGGCTTATACACTATTTTGTGCACGTGGTAAGGGAAGAAGTCATGCAATGAGGGACTGAGGGAATATTAAATGAGTTGATGGATTGAAGAGGTGCTTGAAAGGAGTAATCAAAACCAGGAGGATTTGTTACTTCAGAAGAGGAAATACTACAAAGCATAGACTGTTCATCCTGGACACTATTTGGAACATGCGTAAAATGGGTGTGGGTTTGGTAATAAAAGCTGAGCCTGCTTGAAAAACTTCCAGTAGCTTCCCATGAGGTTCGTAGAACAAAAGTTATTTAAAATTTCCCTTTTGTAAGTGATCCCATGATAATCCTGCTCTAGATATGCTGGACATCTGCTTGAGCTTTGAGATTTATTTCTTCTGCAGGGGGTACAACATGGATCTTGTGGGGTTCAGGTTTTAAGTTCTGATTAAAATTGCAGTTGTGATCATAATTCCTTCATTCCTATCAGAAGTGACTCCAGGAAAGACAATTAAGACTCATTCATAATGTTAGGGAAAGGAACTGAAAATGTGTGCATATGTCCTATTGTTGTCCATTATTGTTCTTATGCAAGAGCCCTTTTTTTTGTCACTGGAGCACTGGAGCCTCCCCTGGAAATGCCTCCATCCATTTTCTTAATTTTGCCTTGTACTTTGCTAGATCTAGGTATTAGAGTGATGCTGTTGGGAGAGAATGTGATCTTCTCAAACTGTAAGAAAATACATGATCTGTTCAGTTGTCCCTCCAGAACCAGGTGTGACTGATGTAAGGATAAGGGTAGTGCATGATGCTAGCAATGAATCCATGGGAAAAAGTGAGATCTAGTGATGTGCTGGTATTTAAAGATGATTCTGAGTCAATATGATACCAGAGCGGTAAAGGAAGTATAGTGAGTCAAAGAATTCCTTCAAGATATGAATGAAACGAGTTTGGGACAACTATGGGACAAGGACTAAAGTTCATAAAAAATACAACAAGCATTTTTCTGTCCAAGTAACTGAGTGGATTATGTGATTCCCAGAAGTCATTAGCTGGCAATTTAACAAGTAATACTGGTGTGTGATGCAGACAGACGTGGGAGAGAAAGACAGGTGGCTTGTTCAGTTTGTTGTGGAACAGCTTCTCTTTATGCCAAGTTGAAGAACAAAATTTTCTAAAACCTGTCTGAATGGCTCACTGTGTGAGGTCCAGTCATCACAGCAGTTCATCTCAAATGCTTGCCAGGCAGTGGGAAGGGAAGAATCGCAGGGCCTCCCTTCTTTTGAGTGGCTGACACTACAAAACCAAGCTCTTCTCCGATGTTGGCATCGAGCTTCTCATAGCCTGAAGTTTTAAATGCTTTGCCAGGATGCCCTTGCTTTTTCCTTGGTATTTGTTTTTGTTTATCTGCCTGCTATGCTTCCCTCTTTTCTTACCTTGAAGCTAGATTTGCTAATTTCGGTGAAGAATGTGGCTAGCAGCCCATTTCTCTACTTTATTGATGTCAATCTGTTTTCAAAACAAATTAGTAACATACATTGTGTGCACCTAAGCTTTCTCAGGTTGAACTTGCCTTAGTTTACAGTCATGTCTCAGTTGTGGTATTTTTTTGACATAGAGACTCTGCTTCTATCACCTCTGTAGCAGACATGAAGAATTTGGTGACGTGTCCCTCTGTCCCTCATAGAGATTTGGTAATTTCATGGCTTAGGTTGACCATAATGGCACAAGTTCCCCATCTTGACTTTGACATAAAA